GAGACTGGAGGCTCCTCTGTGGAAGAGAACTATTTTGTGAACTACACCTTCACCGACCGCTCCCACTCCGGCCGCGTGGCCCAGGGCATCATGAAGCTGTGCTTGGAGGATGAGCTCTTTGCTGATGTCACGATATCCGTGGAAGGCAAGGAGTTCCAGCTGCACCGCCTGGTGCTTTCGGCCCAGAGCTGCTTTTTCCGCTCCATGTTCACGTCCAACCTGAAGGAGGCTCACAATCGCGTGATTGAGCTGCAGGACGTCAGCGAGAGCGTCTTTCAGCTCCTGGTGGACTACATCTACCATGGCACTGTGAAGCTGAGGGCAGAGGAGCTGCAGGAGACCTATGAGGTGGCAGACATGTACCAGCTGACTGCCCTTTTTGAAGAGTGCTCACGTTTCCTGGCCCGCACAGTGCAGGTTAGGAACTGTCTGCAGGTCATGTGGTTGGCAGACCAGCACAGTGACATGGAGCTCTACACAGCTGCCAAACACTGTGCCAAGTCACATTTGTCTCAGCTGCAAGACACAGAGGAGTTCCTACACCTGCCCGTGCGCCTGCTGACAGACATCCTCACAGGTAAGCAGTTCCTGAAACCAGTCAGGATAGGGAGGGAGAAAGAGACTTCCGGAGAGTCTGCGGAGATTGAAGGAAATAGATGGAAAGATGCAAGCTTTCATGATTGCTGGCTATTCAGAGACTTAGCCTAGCAAAGCAAAGCAAAACATTCTGGATAACTTCACAAAAAAAACCCAAACGATCCTATTAGATTTTACTGGACACGAGACATGTAAGCTATAGAAGAGGGACATAGAGGGTGCTGGTCATTCCCAGCAGTTCTGGAGTGCGACCACCCACCCGGAAAGGGGAGAAAGCACCTGAGATTCATCCTGAGTCAACAGGTTAGAAGAGTTACAGGTCTTGGAAACATAAACTCCAGCAATTTGTTGTGGTTTTATTTGCATTATAAGTAAAACAAAGCAGCTTTACCAGAACATCCTAGGAAAGTCTTGTTTTTCCTTTAGTGTGTAATCATTTAACATAGCAATGCAAGGATTCAACATTGCTAGGAGCACAGCCCATAGCTTTTGACTGTGTCAGTGTTATTAATAACTGTATGTAATTGTGAGGGTTATTTAGGCTAGGCTGAAATAGAGGCATTGTAACATCTGAGGTAGTAACTGCCTTTCCTGTAAAGGTAATGGCCTTCCAAAGTAATGGATACAGTGACTTAGTGTGGTGGAGGATGTGCAAACACACAAACAACTTAGTCCAGCTGCCACCAATCCTTAAAGATCCTCTGCTGTCCTAGGAGGTACAGCCAGTGCTCGATTGCCTCTCCAGGGTGCACAGTTACAACTCCATCTTTGTGTCATTGCTGGAGGAAGGAGGAATGCAGAAGCAGCTCATGCACTCAGATGTGTCCCTTTCTTGCTCTAATTGCTCTTTGTAAATGAGTAAATAACTATCCTTTGTGTGCCACGTGCTTTACGTGCTGTTACAGCAATCCCCCTGCCGTGACTGGCTGCTTTGGAATACTATCCATAAGTCTGAATAAAACAGCCTTTAGAGGTGATGCAACGTATATAAGTCTTTACAGGTATTGCATTATATTTTCTCTCCTGCATCTAAAGAAATTCACAGTCAAGCACCTGTATATCAGGAGTGTATGTACCGATAGCTCAAAAAGCTGTGAAAAACGAGCAGTTTTGATAGCTGAAGTTTTCCAAGTAAGTTGTGAGTTAATTAACAAAATACCTCTAAAATAATGATATAAAACTGTAGAGGTCAATCCCCTTTAAATTCCTAGGGATGCCACACAGTAACCATATTTTTAAGACTGTGGTCCTAACTTAAAATAATTGCTCCATAAAACTTTTTTCCATGCATCATGTATTTCATAATTATCACCTGTTATATATAGGATCCCTTACTCAATACTTACGCTACAGCTTAGCTCATAAAATGGACGGAAAACTGAAATGCACTCCTGCTGGTAGGGAAAATCCTTTTCTTTTGCATTTCCTGCATCTTCATGTAGTTAATGAAGACTTAGGTAGAGGAAACTTCTAGTGGCAAGGATTAAAATTCATGAAATAGAGATTTATTAAGTTTACCTTTTGTCACACTCTAGGACTAGTTTAACATTCAGAGTTTTCCATGGAAGCACTGCATGTGATGGTTAGCTTATGGAAATCCCTGTCACTAACAGAATTGAAACACCTGCTTTGTGCCACACTTTTCCTCCTCCCTTCCAGTATGAAGTGTTGGAATTTCTCTGGTGCCTTCAGCATCTTTGAGTGCAGGGTTTGTCAGGAGAGCAGACTGCAAGGTCAGAGAGCCTTCCCAGGCCTAATTGCTGGCTTTGAAACAGGAAGGAAATACCTGAAGTCTTCTAGGGAATGCACTGATGCCAGTGATGCAATAGTTTGAGGCTTCACCAAAACTCCCAGTTATGTCTGGAAACAAGACTGGAATCTGCTGCAGTCTGTTGAGTGCTTGCCACTGTCACAGGGCTAAGAAAAGCTCCAGCAGCTCAGTGGAGATTTCCAAATGTTAAGAGGATAGCAGCAACAGCAGATGCTCAGCCCTGGGGGTCAGCCGTCTGGCAGCGCTCAGACACGGTCTGCAGATGACTTTTGCTAAGGCCAGCAAGGAAGAAAGGCAGCTGCCACTCCCAGTAAGAGAATGTTTTTGCCTCCCTTGATTAAATAAGGAAATGTTTGTCATCATCACACGGTACGTAAGCTCTCCTTCCTGCCCTCTTTCTCTTGGACGTAAGTTCCTTGGCTGAATCTCATCCAAAGTGCTTAAGGTCTGGCAGCTCTGTCTCCTGGTATTTCTCCGAGCTAATTTCATGTATGTGGCTGGCTGGCAGTGCTGATCTACGGACCTCTGTCTCTATTTTTCCCCTCTAGAAAGTAGGGATCTGTGGTGGGAGTGGTGGGAAAAGGACATACCTTTGTCTAGATGCCATAAATGCCTTTCTATCCCCGAACTGCAGATGGCGTTCCCTGCTCCCAGAACCCAACAACTGCCATAGAAACCTGGATCAACTTCAACAAGGAGGAGCGCGTCTGCTTCTCAGAGACGCTGCGGTCGAGTCTGAAGGTATGAAGAGACCTTCTGTTCCGGGGCTGATATAGCACTTCCCCGGACAGGGTGTTGTGCTCACAGGTGTGACTCGATAGTCACAGAACACAGGTGCCATTGAAACTCAGGGTGCTTGGGAGAGGAATGCTTTCATAGCAACCCCCCTGACATCTATTTTAGTTCACCCCGAGGCTACTTCCACCGGGGATTGGAGTGATGCCACAAAGAACTTACTTCACCAGATGCTCACTTACCAAACAGATCGTTCAGAAACCTGTCTGGCATTCCCCTTATGATACATGCACTCCTTCAGTGATGGAACCAGCCCTTACCTAAACCGCAGACACTCGAGTTCATGATGTCTGTGTTATTTGGCTTGTCAGATATGACTGATATCTTGAACAGGCTGTGAATGCTGTAGGGTGGCAGGACTTGGGACGCAGGTTATGTACCTCAGGCCCACAGGTGGGCCCTAAGCTGAAAAACTTAGTGTTGGACATCACAGATGCTTGTGTGAACAGATCTAATCCTGCTGTCACACTTCTTGTCTCAGGTGATCGGAGAAAACGTTCACATCTACCTGATCGGGAAGGAGTCATCGCGGACACATTCACTTGCTGTGTCTCTGCACTGTGCTGACGATGACTCCGTCAGTGTGAGTGGCCAGAACAGCTTGTGTCACCAGATCACTGCAGCCTGCAAGCACGGCAGTGACCTGTATGTTGTGGGCGGCTCCATTCCGCGGCGCATGTGGAAGTGCAACAACGCGACCATAGACTGGGAGTGGTGTGCCCCTCTGCCCCGTGACCGGCTCCAGCACACCCTTGTCTCCGTGCCGAGCAAGGACGCAATATACTCTCTGGGGGGCAAAACCCTACAGGACACTCTCTCGAACGCTGTCATATATTACAGAGTACGAGACAACGTCTGGACAGAGACCAGCCAGCTGGAAGTGGCAGTCTCTGGAGCTGCAGGTGTGAACCTGAACAGTGTCATTTACCTGCTGGGCGGGGAGGAAAATGACTTGGACTTCTTCACCAAGCCCTCTCGGCTCATTCAGTGCTACGACACCAGCACGGAGAAGTGCCACGTGAAGCCGTACGTGCTGCCGTTCGCGGGGCGCATGCACGCCGCGGTGCACAAAGACGTGGTGTTCATTGTGGCCGAGGGGAACTCGCTGCTCTGCTACAACCCCCTCCTGGACAGCTTCACACGGCTGTGCCTCCCCGAGGCCTGGAGCTCAGTACCCTCCCTCTGGAAAATCGCCAGCTGCAATGGCAGCATCTATGTCTTTTGTGACCGCTACAAAAAGGGCGATGCAAATACTTTTAAACTCAACCCAGCCACCTCTGTTGTAACAGTCACGAGTGGCATCAAAGTGCTCCTCACTAACCTGCAGTTTGTCCTGGCCTAAGCAGAAACAACAGGCCCAGTGACAGAAAGGGCAGCAACACTTGTGCTGTGCAGCTTGGAGACACCTACCACCCTCAGCACCAATCCCAATGGCTACAAGCTCACAAGAGCCAGAGAAAGGACAGCCTTTCTGACTGTGGGCCTGTTCTTTTACACAGCACTATTGAGCTGCATTGAACTGTTGTATCTTAGGTTTCAGATGGACTAAATGGTATTTCTTTGATTCCTTGATGATAAGCTGCTTGTGGTTGAGGCCCAAACTGCAGCAAATGGCTATTTCAGCCTGGAACTAATCCACCAGTAACAAATCCTGTGGCACATGGACACATCCTCCTCGGCCCGGCCTGCTAGTTTTAACTGCTTAGGAGATGTGTGTTGTTGCCATGTCAGTAACAGTTAGATGTGCACTGTTCCCCCCCAGGGATGTTCTCACACAAACATTCCTGTGTCCTACTGCAGAAGAAGGGCCTGGGAGAAATATTTACAGCAGATTCCAAGGCTGACCTCAGGATCTTTAGTAGGTTGTACTCCTAGAGGAGTGGTAACAAACCGGGAACTTTCTTACTGCTCTGAATCACCTAGCATAACAGTGGAGATGACTTTATAAGTACTGGCATCCTTTAATGTACAGGGAGTCCCCACCTGTAATCATAACGTAGTGTTGGTGAAAGACAGAATTAAGACCACTTCCTCCTACCCCTCTCTGTTGGCACTGTAACCCTTTGGGTAAGGATCTGAATAAAGTCTCTGCTGAGACAAAGGGTTTTTCTCTTTTGCTTCAAATACAAATATTTTCAGGCTTCCTGTGGATTGCAGCTCAGCTCAGCACTGATGTGTGGAAAAAAGGAGAACTAAAATGTTAGCCATAAGGAAGCTTTAATGAAACAGCCCGATTTCACTGCAGTCTGTATATAAACTTCCTTATTGATGGCCAAGAATAACAACACTGTCTTCATTAGATCATAAAAATCCGTTTATAAAATAGCTGAGTTGGGGACTTTGATAATTCTTACTGACATTTTGCCGTTGTCCCGGTGATCATGTTCCTGTGAAACTCCTCCAGGGCCTGGACTTGCTTGTGCCGAATGAGGATGTGGGGACGAATCTTGGCAATGGCCTCGATTGCCTTCTGAGGGCTCCAGCGATGCAGCTGAAAAGGCAGGAACCCAGCAATTGAAAATCATCCCACTCCTGCACCAGGTAATGGGACCTTCCTGGGGGCTACAGGCAACATTAGAGGTGTTAAAACACTTGGTGCTTTGCCCCTTCTGTTTTGCTCCTGCTCCTGTCAGGAGACCTGGGTGTCATGCAGCCAATTTGTGACCTGAGTGCCCTGGTTAGAGGGGGACAGTTACTGCCTGGGCCCTCCAGTGTCTGCCTTGCTCACTCGTCCTGCCTGTCGTGCATAGTTTCCTGTCCTCATCCCACCAGGCCAGAGCTTGCTTTGGTTAATATTAAATTGTCACTGGTACTCCCTTCACACTTCAGCACTTATTGAGGAAACTTTCCCTTCAGCACTAACAGAAGACTTTCCAGGGAGCTCTTAGTAATGCCAACAGGACAATCCACGGGTGGGATTTAGTTCTTAGTGCTGGCTTACCCTGTTGGGTCAGTAGAGGAACTCAGAAAACCAAGGTCAGTTCCCTTGATCCTGAGTTGTCTCTATCAAAGGCATAGGAATGCTCTCTATGTCAGAGAACCAAGGAGAAAATCTGAGCAGCACAGATGGATGTTTATAGGCTCAGTGAACCTACTCTCACAAGGGACTTGTTATTCCCACCTCAATCTGTTCCCGGAGAGAATTAAGAGCAGAATCATTCTAAACTTGCATTTGCCTTCAAAACAGCAACGCGAGTTTGCGGCCTAGCCATCTACCTCGTTTCAACCCAGTGTCTAAACTCTGTAAGTCAGGCAGCATTGACGAACCCGACCAGGCTCGGGTTCCTGACCGGGAGCAGACGGTGTGAACGCGGGGCCGGGGCTGACCTGGATGAGGTAAGCGGCCACCACGGTGGCACTGCGGGAGCGCCCTGCCTTGCAGTGCACGTACACGCTGTGGCCGCGGGCGCGGTGCTGCAGGATGAACGCCACGCCCCGGCGCAGGTGCTCCGCGGTGGGCACTCCGGTGATGTCCACGGTGCTGAGCCGCAGCTGCTCCACCCCCATGGCCTCCCACTCCTGAAACGGACAGGTACACCTCGTCAGTTTACTTCTGGGGTTTTTTCCCTGAAAGAAACCCAGAA